GACTAACTTTCCCCTTTTATTTTTCTTTCATTTCAGATGAACTTCACTGACTACTCAATTCAAAGAAAAAAGAACATGTCACAGTTATAAATTATTTTTTTTATTCGTTGCTTTTTTGCAATTATGGTCTAAATGTTTAAACAATTTTATTTAGACCAGAAATATGTACATTTTTTTTCATTTTTGATATAAGAAACATTAAATGTTATATAAATACAATACAGCATTGTTTTATAATTTAAATTTCCTCATTTAACTAAAACATGTAAGGAACTGACGCTCAGCTTAGTCGCAGACATTGGTACTGTAAGGCAATTGACGATAATATAATAAGTGCAACCAAAGTAGAATCATTATTGCTGCAGTTATTGGCAACTTCAAAGATTATAAGTTAAATTAATCCTTTTCAATCTCCCTTCACGTCCTGGATTATGTGGAATAACGTCGTTTACGACATCATCAGCAACTAGTTGACGCCACTGGACACCAACAGCGTTGTCGTCATCATCATGATCATTTTCGTCGAAATCAATATCGTCGTGCTTAATGCAAATATTATGGATGATGCATGCAGCAAGCACGATTTTATTGATTTCATTTACGTCTGTGATATCGATGCCATTCAGAAGTCTCCTAAATCTTCGTTTCAACGATCCAAACGCCCGTTCAATAATCACTCTTCTTCTTGACAGAGAAGTGTTGAACAATCTCTGGTGTTCGTCTAAATGACCATTGTCACGATAGGGTGTCATGAGCCAATTTGTCAACGGGTACGCGGCATCACCTATAACATGATATTGACCTCGTTGACAATTGCCCATTCCGGTGTTCCAAAGGGTAGAATTTCGTAAGACCCTGGCATCGTGCATTCTGCCCGGACATCCTACGCTGACGTCAATAAATTGTAAGTCTTCACGACAAACACCTTGAAGAACAACAGAACGGAACTTTTTCCGATTATAATATGCATCAGGTTGTTCGTGTGGCGTAGATATAGGTATATGTGAGCCATCGACGGCTCCTATGATATTTGGAAGGTTGCTGGTGTGCATGTCATTAAAACATGCCGAAATGCCCTGTAGTTCTCTTCTGAGTGGCCAATGAATAGTGTTATTCAATAAATGAATTAAAATCACGTTTGTTACTTGACGTCTAACTTTGATTACAGACGATTCAGTTATGTTAAATAACTGTGCTATATCAAGTATCGTCTCCATCGACCCGACACATTTTAAAAAAATCGCTATTTTTTTGTCGGGTAATATCGCTGGTCGACCACCACAATGAATTGGTTCGTTTTCAATTAGCGGCCCCGTTAGAATGTCTGCCAAATACTCGAACACAGAATGTGGCACTCTAAACGCTCGTCTGAATCGGCGATCTTGGTATTGTGGTACTGTATATTCCCAAAAGTTGTTAATTTTCACGTGATCATCTCTCAGACTGCAAAAAAATATAGGTATACTATTTTAGTCAGTGATACGATAAAAACTTAAAATAAAGACAGTAGAATTTTCATGTATTTGTACAAATAAAATTAAACATTTCTTTGTTAAAACAAGGTAACTGCTTGAATCAAAAGAGAGTCGGCAAATATTACTATTTTTATTTAAATAAAAACTTATCATATTTATGATTACTTACAGTAGAGTTACTAACAGTAAATTATCGGTTTCTATTTCTTCCTCTTCGAATAACTCCGATATTACACCGACCATACCCAGCGAACGTTGCCTGTGTTGTGTCATTACGAAACCGGGCTGTTACTCAAATGTGCCGTTAAAGATGGAACGCCCTCGATTGACCTTCACGCGACCGATGTGCCTATCACGTGATCGGCATATTACGGCGTATCCAACCGGCGCGGCCAATCGAGTCCACCTATTGTTCCATTTGGGCCGGTTTTCCGGCCGGAAGGAACGCGACTGGGTGACGTAATTTGAAAACATTCCAAGTTGCGTTTTGCGTAAACGTGTCTGTAATGCTACAATAAAGCCATGCTCATACATACTGCCTGCTTAAGGTGCCGTACGCGAGCGCCGGTTCGAGTCACGCACGCAGTACGTATTTACTATAATTAGACATAGTCTTTACCTTGCCGTTTATTCGGTGTTATTTGCTTACTTTACTTCCTATGTCGACAGCAACTATGAGTTTAAAAATTATTTCTCAGTACTTATTTACTGCCTGCTTAGATTTACAGATTTGATATGTTCTGTGCTAATTTATAACAAAAGAAACAATTCTTTTTATTCGCCCAACTTTCGAAAGCAAAAGGAAACCCCTGAACGGCCACGAGCGTAAGCGTAAGCGTAAGCGCTGA